GAAATCCAATGTGTGTGTGTATGATGTGCCGCTACTGCGCCAGCTCCTTCCCCTTCGCTGAAGAGGTACCTGAAACCAAAACTGAAAACTGTAAGCACGAAGCTTAGTGAGTCCCCCCATCATTCCACATACCATACAGTCATATCACATACATACTGCCAGGCATTTATGGGGTGCCCGACCTACCCGATACGACCATTCTGGGGTGACGACCTATCCGTACGGCCATTCTGTGGTGCCGACCTACCCATGGCAAGCCATTCTGGGGTGCTGACTACCCTTCGGTCCTAACAACCGAACCTCGGGGACTATTTCACCCCCTACTACTACTATCACGTATAACATAACATAAGCATATTATCAGACATATCTGGGGTGCCTGAACTACCCTTCGGTCCTAACAACCGAACTCGGGGACTAGTTCCCTCCTACTACCTCTATCGCATATAACATAACAAGACAGCATGCAAACATATCATCACATACTGTCAAACGTACCTGGGATGTCTGACTACCCTTCGGTCCTAACAACTGAACTCTATTACTATCACATACAACATATCATGCTAGCATATAACATATCAGGTAGTAACAAACCTAGATGACATCACAAAGACAATCATCTATCATACGTCTCCTACTGGTGGGCCGACATTGTAGCCTTAGACCCACCGCTAGTGGAAGGTAACTTACCTCGAAAAGTAGTTGTCGAAAGTCTGCTTGTTAAGCGCCTGACTGTTGAATCGGAAATCCTCTGGCTATAAACCATAAACATAGATTAGCCACTCATACACACCCTTAGGTCAGATGACTGACCCACCCCTGGTCCAAGGTCAACTCCTTGGTCAAAGTCAACTTCCAGTTGATTGGACTCACCGAGTCATGGCACCGACTCGCCAAGTCCTTCTTCCACTAACCCGGTCCTACTCTACAAGTCCCTCTTCCCACTCACTGAGTCACCCTTAACTCACTATTTTGGACAGTAGAACTGGCTCGCGATCCGACTTGCTGAGTCCAAGAACAACTCGCCGATTCCATACGAGCAGATCTCCCACTCGCTTCCAAATCCTCACCAGAGCATCCTTTATGAGGATTTGGGTTTCTGGGACTATTGTTACACGTTAGATTGCTAATTCTGCATGCAGATACGAAGGGTTGGACCTTCAACACCTAAATCCATCTTACTCAGTAACTGTTCATCTGACTTGCCAACTTTTAAGAACAACTCGTCGAGTACCAAGCAATCTTCATAGGACTCACCGAGTTGTTCATCTAACTCGCCGAGTTCCACTTTGGGACTCGCCGAGTCCCTTGACCCATTTCCCATATAGACCAAATATGAGACATGCAACGCTTCAAAACCATAGATCTATGTTCCTAGGACATGCTTATCACGTAAAGTTGCAAACTTTACGTGCATGCATGGCCCTACAAGCTCCAAAAGGAAAATCCAAGTTCTTTATGAGGTCATACACTCAATGGGGACCTCAATCACTTCAACAACAGAAACTTATGCTTCTAATACGTCCACAAGGTCTAGATCTGAAATCCTTTCGGATCATTAAGCACAAACACATGGAGTTTGGTGTTTTAGGGCTTGAAAACCACCAATTAGGGACAAAACGGTATATAATGAACTAGTGATCAAGGTAGGAACTTTTCTCCCTGAATGGAAGCTTCTCACAGTGTAGATTTCGGATCTACTCCCCTCCTTGCACTCTTCAACCTCCTCCTTCTTCTTCTAAGCTCCAAACTTCCTTCACCAAGCAAAATCACTCACAAGAACAATATGGGGGGCTAGGGTTTTGCTCTACAGCTCTCTGGAATTGTTAGGAACAAGGGAGGCCGAGTTAGAGTGCTTAAATAGGGTGTAAACACTCGGGTTAGGGTTTTTGCCTAAACAGGGCCTACTCGCCGAGTCGGGGAACCGACTCGCCGAGTCCGAGGCTCATACCCCGCGTCTCATCCCACTCCTACTCGACGAGTTGGTCCTTCAACTCGCCGAATCCAAAGCAAAAATGAATTAAGAATTGTTAATTACAAGAAATACGTACCGGGAACCAGGTGCCACACCCTAAAATTGACATATCATGCACAAATCAAAAAGGATGGGAAAACTTTGAGCTTTATACCACCAAATGATGCTCCAACCATAGAAAAGCTCAGATCCAAAGCTTGGACTCCAACTCCATTCTCTTCCATGCTCCTTCTTCACTCCAAAAATCCAACAAGATCACTTATAAGCTCACAATTGATCACTCAAGCTCAAGGAATGGACATTAGGGTTTGAGAGGGTTAAGTTTCTAAAAATGGTGGCTAGGAATGAGGCCATCTTATTCTTTATATAGTGACACCCCCTTCATTTAGGGTTTTCATTTTGTGCCTAGTACGCTCAGCGTACTAGGTGACTCGGCTTCATATTCACGCGCATGAGTACGCTAAGCGTACATACACGTACGCCCAGCGTACTCAGCTGTCACCTTTCTCAAATAAGGGACTTATCCTGCCAAAACTTCAAATTGTCGTAACTTCCCCGTTATATGTTCGTTTCCAATGAATCTTATATGCATGGAAAGGTGACGAGAAACCCTACGCTCCTAGCAACTCGTCGCAGCCCAGAGGCTTCCTCATGCTCGGGTTGCAGTCCGCGGATCGTAAATCACAGATGATCTGAAACAGGATGTTACAAAAACAACCTTTCCATCACTAAAATATGGATTTCTTCTAACATGGTAATGGATGGTTTCTTCATAGCACCTTCAATCACTAAATTAAAACTTTCGGAAACACCATTTTTCATATGCATCACAACTCCTATCAACCTGAAAAATGCTTTACACCAGGTTTTAGGAACACTTTCCATTAAATGTTCAAAAATAGCTCCCTAAATATTTGACCCTTCAATATTTTCTGGAAATTATCATAGATGTGCCTAGCACATTGCCTATTCTATGTAGTTGGAACCCTTTCCTTCATAATTGCAATTACTCCCTATAATCAATACATACAAAGCATAAGCTTAAATATATTAAGTATGAAAAATATCAATAAGGGAAGTTTGAACATTACTTTGTGTTGGTCTGATGTTATTGTTAGTTCATGCTCAACTCCCATTCCAAAGTCATCAATCATAAGATCAAGAAACCAGTTCCATGTTTATTTATTTACCACTGCAACCACAACACATGCAACATGATATATGTGGTTGTTTACATCCCTCCTAATGGATGCAAGAAACTAACCTCTGCATATGTCGTTTAAAAGACAACCATATACTCCAATTACCCTCTTACAACCCTCCATCCATCCATCCTTCAAACCCTTTAAACACACATAAAACTTTGAGAAGTATTTTTCTCCATCAGGCATCACATCTACCTCCATCTTAACTATTGATCAAGGATTTTTCCTTTTTAGCTTTTCTCCATAGCTCCATGTTTTTGTGTAATGCTCTATTAAAGTACCTTCTATCTGCTAAAATACGTATTTCCTAGCATTTCTGCATTGTCCAACACTTGCTATCAGGTTAAACCTTTTACTGACCTTAGCTTTCAATTTCCTTATACTTATCTTTGGTTTCTGCAATATCTCATTCATGAAATGAGTTCATCTATTTATAGGTTACAATGGACCCAAATTTGAATACTCTTGAACAATTATGCCTATTAATTGAGGACTTAATCTGAAAAGACCTCTTATTCTTCATCCAGGTTGCCCACAACCTAGACAAGTCTTATTCTTCTTATTCTTCTTAAGTTTACAACATTTTGCCAACAACCTTTGATGATCATTTTTTTTTTCATACCATAAATCATACTCATTGACAGCATAGTTGATTATACATAACTTCAATTCTATTGGGTTGGAAAACCTTATACCTAAAACTGGGACCATTTTATCCATTCTTGATTCTCATCAAAGACAGGGAACACAAGCTCATCATCTTCATAACTGGCTTCATCATCATCATTTACTTCTTCGTCATTACTATTAGGAATAGGTTTACTACACAACCTGTTCAAAAATTCATCATCAATTGTTTTGTCAAAAATATCCACATCTTTATCAGGTTCATGCTCACATTCCATTATATCTGAAATATAAGTCTTTGTCATCATCATCTACGAACTCGGCCCACTAAAGAATACGTTCATTTTGGTGGTCAATGTAGACATTCATTCTTAGGCATGTAACCATCTTCAATAAACTCAAAATAATCAGCATCATTGTCGATTCTTCTAATACCTTCTGCTACTGTTTCATTTCAACTACATTAGTACAAATTTTCACACCTTCCTTTAGTCAGCTCTATAGCCCACAACACATAAAAATCCACATCACAAATTGATAGTCTTATAGAGTCTAAGTACACTAACAGATTTGGTGCAAACATTTCATTGTAGTTGAAATCTACTGTAAGATACGTAGTCAACAATTTCAATTCCAAACAATGAGTTCCTACTACTTCGATCGATTGATTTTTGAGAAACCATAATTAATCGAGAACAATTTTGGAGTAATTTTGGAATAACTATGAGGAACCCTAATTAAATGAAGTGCATTTCGAACAAAATGAAGTAATGAACACGTAAGATGTCATATAATTTTTTTTAAGTGAGTTAATTTGAGACAGCCGTTTAAAACAAATGTATGTTAGCCAGTAATATTGATGTAAATTGTACAAGTAAAACAAATTAAATGGCCTATGTGTATAATAAAAAAGATATAAATTAATTGGCTTTATGTATACAATAAAAAAGATATTGCCTATAAGATAATTACCTCCTAAGTCATTGTCACTTCTTTTATTTTAAGATAAAAGATTAGCCATAACTCAAACACAAATGTTAGTATTTATCCTAATCCTTTTTAATAGGATTTGTACAAAGTAATTACAAAATTTGACATAAACTAATCAACTTTTAAGTGAAATTAATTAACATATTTCCCTTTCAATTTTGTTTTTTAAATAGGAAAAAATATATTAAAACATATGATAATTAAACTTCTACTGTCGGAGGAGCTAGATTCAGATCGAGGTTAATTTCTCGTTTCGAATAACTCGTATCACGTGGGATGTAATCCGCTACAGACGACGACTCCGACACACTCTCCGCCCTACCACCATATCCACCGTCAAAATGCTGCTCCATTTGATGGATCGGGTACTGATGGGCCCTGTTCATTGCCATCTCGGGTTGCACTCCAAAAAACATAATCGGCTGCGCGTGAGGAACAAACGCCACCGTCTGTTGGTTCCCATTCACAAAAAACTGATACCCACCAACCGACGACGCCTCGCCGACAAGACACCTCATCAGATCCAGTTCCACCGGAGTGTTATTCTCACTCTCCCGGCTGGAAGGAGTAGACTCCACAGTGCTACTCTGACTGTAATTCCCACCGGTGACGCCATCCAACGACGGAGGGAAGTTGATCTTCGCCTTAGATCCACGAAAGTTGATTGCTGCGGTGTCGTATGCTCTCGCTGCCGCCTCCGCCGTATCGAAAGTACCCAACCAGACACGCGTTTTCGTCCCGGGGTCACGAATCTCAGCCGCGTAACGACCCCACGGCCTCTTCCTCACTCCACGGTAATGAACTTCGTTCACCGCAGCAGCAACCTTTCCCGCCGCCGTGACAGGTTTAGCAGTTTCGTTCTTCATAACCATCGTAGAATTTTCTATTGAAAACGGGTTTCGTTTCCGTGTTTGGTAAAGTGGTAACGATGTTTAAAGGAAGAAAGGAGGTGTCTTCATTATATAGATGGGTTTTAAGAGAGAGAAAGTGTGTGCGTATGTGTGAGAGAGAGAAAGGTGGAGTGTGCGTGGGGTCAACGGGTAGTTTGACTGGGCTAAGGCAAAAAGCGCCGCCCTACCGGGTGCGGTGGGGCAAGGGGTTACGTGGCACGCGTTAAAGCAGAATGACAAGCGGCGAAGACGTTGATGTGCCGGCTTTCTATTTAATTATTTTTATTATGTTTTTGGGCGGCTGCGTTTTCACTACACTTTCTTGGATGAAATAATGTATAAACTACACCAATGTTTATGAAATTGACAGAAACTACCCTTATAGTTTTGGCAGCAGTTTGGAGCCACATTTTTTTTAGGACCGAGTCATTGATTGTTATAATTATTACTTTTTGTAATTTTCTTTCTGTTTTTTGTTTTTATATATATATTTTTACCCAATTAAATAGTGATAAGTGCAACATTTAATATTTATTTAATAAAATTTAAGATATTAATATCACACATGTTATCATTTAAATAGATAGAAAGATTGATAAAAACAAAAGTTAGGAGCATATTTGATTTTTATTTTCTTTTTAAATCAACCATTATTTACACAAATATACTCAAATTTACCGTTTGTAAAAATATCCTTGATTTAGGACGGAAAAATCTCGAGTCATTTTTCTAAGACGGGTGGGAGCAGACAACGCACACCTCCGTTTTTCCGACGTGACAAGCTAAACATGGCGTTTTAACATCTATTACACCGCCTTAGGGTGACGTTTTTAGATGTTACGTTGATGGGTGTTATGGTAGTAACGGGATGAAACAATTGAAATTTGTTGGGAATGGTCACATATTTGACCGTTTGCAAATGGTCACAAACATTAAAAAAATTCTCTATTTATATCTTATATAAATACACAATATTTATTTCAATTGTACCTACAAAACTCAACAAACTCTTTCAATAATTCACATTTCATTTATTTTCTAGTAATCTATTTAATTAAAAAATGGATCATTTTGATCCGTTTCATCCATACAATCATGATATCGACGAGGATGATATGTTCGTGGCTATGATGTACCGATATACTATAGAAATGTTACCGCTAGAACCAGCTTCACTGTTGACCAGACGTACGACTTTGAACATAAATTGTGAAGAATGACATAGATGTCTAGTACACGATTATTTTACGGATAATTGTATCTACCAACCTAGCGATTTAAAAAAAAAAAAAAAGAGGTTTCGTTTGCAGAAAAATATGTTTCAACGGATAGTCAATGCAATGAAAAACAGGTACTGTAATTACACTTGTTTTAAATATTAAATATATGTTCTTTAGATTATTAAATAATTTTTTCTAAGATAACACAAGTACATCCGTTTTTACAAATTAAATATATGTTTAGGTATAAATATTTTCAAATGTGGTATGATGCGTGAGGTAAATGAAGTTTTACAGGGTTGTAAAAATATGTTACTGCAATCAAGTTATGGTTTTGGAGGAGTTGCCCGATTCTATTGATGACTATATGAGAATGTCAGAGCGAACTGCACGAAAAAGTTTGTATAATTTGGTGAGAGGTGTTATCGAAACCTTCGGTGATAAATACTTGCACAAACTGTTATTGAATGACATGCAACAACTATATGCGACGCATGAAGAACATAGCTTTCTGGGTATGCTTGGAAGCATTGATTGCACAAAGTGGATATGGAGAAATTGTCATGTGGCATGGAAATGCCAATACACAAGTGTTTATCTTGGATCACCTTCATTAGTATTAGAGGTTGTTGCGTCACAAGACTTATGAATTTGGCATGTTTTTTTGGAGTTGCAAGTTCTAACAATGACATAAACCTTCTTGATCAGTCATCAATATTTCAAGACCTTTTTTACATGAAAGGCACCAGATGCTCCTGTCACAATAAATGGCCATGGGTACAAGTTCGGGTATTACCTCTAATTGAATATATCCACCATATTCTACATTTGTGAAGGCGTTTCGACACCCTATAGAACCAATAGACAAATATTTCAAGAGAAGACAATAAGGAACACGTAAGGACGTGTAACGTGCTTTCAGAGTTCTGAAAACAAAATGGCACATAGTTGAACATGTGACATGACCATATGAGTTCGACTCTCTATGATATATTATGTATCATAATGCATAACATGATAATTGAAGATAAAGGACCAAACATTGCGGAGTATTCACCTACGGAACCTAGACACATTCAATTTCAACCAAAGACAACATAATACTTACATAGAGTCATTGTCATTCAAGACCAATGAAAACACAAGCAACTTCGAGAAGACTTGGTAGATCATATCTATTATGGTACTGAAGATGAATCATTTAGGTCAAAAAATGTAACTTTTCTCATGTTTTTTTTTCTTTTTGTTGTTGTTTTTAGGTTTTTAAATGTTTTTTTCCTCTGTTGTAGTTTTTTAATATTGTTTTAATTTAGGATTTATTAAAATTTTATTTTGACTTTTTAAATGTTATTTTTAATTTTTGATTTAATTTATATGATAATTATAAATATTATGACATAAAAAACAAATTGGAAATATAGAAATTAAAAACATAATTTTTTTAAAAAAAATAGAAAATAAAGGGTGCTATCACATATTATTTAGTGTTGTTCATTTTCACATTGGGTGTTATAACACCTATTTATGACTAAGATGATGATGTGACACCTTTTAGTGTGGTAACATGCAATAACATGTTGCCCACACCTAACAT